AAGTCCCGCCGCACCACGACCGTCCGAACCCGGCGGAAACTCGCCGCAAAATGACATCTCCTGCCCGAAAGTAAACAGATGGGCGGAGCGAGCCGTGATGTCACAGGGCTTGCTCCGCCCCTTTTGACATTCTCAGCTGTCAAATATCGCATAGCATTTGAGTTTGTGAGCCGAGGTGTCATAATACTATTGGTATGCATTGAACGAACGAAACGCGGCGATTCGTACAGACTACCGCTAACGAATTTCGGAATCGGAAATTCGGATTCGTTTGTAATTCGTTATTCGGATACATCCGAATCTCCGAATTTCCGAAATTCCGTCCGAATCGCACATGTCTAGTAATAAATACCTGGAAGTGTTACAATGACTCATTACTACGCATGCATCTACTATCTGGGGGGGTGAGGTTCCCTTTAAGATCCCGAGCAGTCCTGTACTCATTGTCTGCTGATTACACGAGTCAGGGACGGGAGGTGACCTTAGCCACTAGACAAAACAGGTTGGGGGGGGGGGATTCCTTATCTGGCCCATTCTATCTAGTGCAGACCGGTGTTCTAATAGGAAGATTCCAAGAAGGGAAGTACAGAGTGAACTCAGCGCTGTGGGCGTGGTCCTGGAATCGGTGTTCTATCGAAAGCTCCAACTGGTCGAAATCTCCAACTACCTCACTGCCAGGCACTTGCAATTTCGATCAGACGACGTCAGACAGCAAAACACAAAGACCGACGGAGCTCTGTACAGCTGCATTTTAACAATATTCAGCAGGCGGCAAACTCGACGAGTATTCTGAAAAAAAAAAACGCTACGCGCGCATGCGCACCACCACTGTACAGAGCTCTGGTCTTTCTGAGCGCCGGGAGTGAGGTAGTTAGAGATTACGATGAGTTGGAGCTTTCGATAGAACAACGTCTTCCTGGGACGATAAGTTCCCTTTCTTCCAGTCGGAGGTTGGGAGGGTGCGACGCTCTGCAGAGCACGCATCACGATGGCTCCTATACATTGAACATACACAGTGGAAAATACCGCACATTCCGCCGGCCGCTGCTTCTCCGTGGACTAAAATGGAAAGCGCCGCCGCCGAACGACATCCACAAATCAGAGGATCATTAAAACACGCACGGGCTAGGAGGAGAAAACATGGAACACGGCGCAGATTTTCCTACATGCATTTCTTTTCCGTGTTTGTCGCGTGTGCGGTAAGCCGTTGAAGCCAATGGGGATGAACGGCAAATGCAGGAACAACATACGCACGAATGCGCATGAATGATCGCACGTTGCCGGAGCGCCTAGGTGTGAACAGGGACAAAGAGATACATATTGTTTACACTGATGTCAGATGTACTGGATACACATAATATGCATCCCCCTTTGGGGCAATAAAGATCTGGCAGAGGTTATGACCCCTGTACCCCCCCTACCCCGCCCACATCAGGAACAGGAAGTCCTCATTCCAGGTTAATGTCGGCAATTGATTTTATCTCAGTAATAATTCCCTGTACACAGATAGGAGCTGATAGGAGACGTCAAATTTGTTTGAAATGTCAACATAGAAATACGGAACAGCAAAACATACTGAGAACATCGAAAGACGACTTTCAGTTCAACGTTACGATAACCTTAAAGCAGAACTCCGGGAAATACCGAAAAATTCCCCTTAGAGGGGCGCTATCCCAACGCTGCAAGGGGTAACTGCTCGTTCAGGTGCTTGGGGGTACCTGAGACATTTACTCACCTGATCATGGTTTTAGCACGGGCTGCCAACACATAGCAAACGGAAGACAATCTGGACCTGCATAATTGGTTGCTAGGACACAGGCGGTCCAAGCATTGTTATGGTGTACCCACCTGCATCCTAGCAACCAACAACCGCTAGCATCCTAGCAACCAATTATTCTGTTTGGGGTGCCCAGCATCATTGGTTGCTAGGATACTAGCATCTGGGCCACACAGCGTAATTGGGTAATTGGTTGCTAGGACACTAGCAGCAGGGTCACACAGCGTAATTGGTTGCTAGGACACTAGATGCTGGGCCACACAGCGTAATTGGTTGCTATGACACTAGCAGCTGGGCCACACAGCGTAATTGGTTGCTAGGACACTAGCAGCTGGGCCACACAGCATAATTGGTTGCTAGGACACTAGATGCTGGGCCACACAGCGTAATTGGCTGGGCCACACAGCGTAATTGGTTGCTATGACACTAGCAGCTGGGCCACACAGTGCAATTGGTTGCTAGGACACATATGACTGTGCTGGGCCAGCTAACATGTAAAAATCGATCTTACGCCGTTTACTGAAACAGAGGACAGATTTCTTGTAACAGTTTATGTAACTTTTGTGTAGAGTTTTGAGTAGATTCCGTGTAGAAAGTTTTGCAGTTGCAGCAGAGCAGACGGTGTACAGGGGTTGGTGTGTGACACGGGGGAGGGTTATGCTGCGTGTATGAGGAATGTATGTCCAGGGCGGGGGAGGGATGGAATTACACGATGTCACTACAGGAGGGGAAGTCATGATGCAGCTTTCTGCCTTGTGTGTCAGGAGGGGGAGGGGGGGAGGAGGGGGGTCCCTCTCTGGCCCTATCTGCTCCTTATTTCCTCCTCTTTACTTCTGCTCCTTATATGGGCAAAGAGAACCGACAGGGTGAGGTCACCGCCAGACCTCTGAGACCGCAGCCAATGCGAGGAGAGGTCACATGACCCCGTCTCCAGAGGTCACATGACCCCGTCTCCAGAGGTCACAATGTTGCAAATATTGGAAACACTTTGTAGAGAAGTTAAACTCACCTGAGAGGGAGACGCGGCGTGCGGGAAAAGTGCAGGAAGCGGGAAACGTTTCTCTTTTTCCTAAGTTTTTCTTTTTTGCCATTTGTGTCCCATTCCAGAGATTTCCCTCGAGTGCAACCTCCCCCCTCCCCCCTGCAAACACATGTCAGAGGACATATTTTGGGGGGGTTATCCCCATTATTCCTGTTCTGGTGACAACTCAAAATTGGTGGTCAGTGGTCACCAAGACAGAGAGCGTGACTCTCCCTAGTGGGGGCTCAGAATTGTGTGTTGGTGCCTACTAGTGATCTATTAGTGTCTCCAGAAAGATGTCCACAGTCTCTGACCATCTCCTGCACCATGTCTGCAGTCTCTGACCATCTCCTGCACCATGTCTGCAATCTCTGACAATCTCCTCTGCTATGTCCGCAATCTCTGACCATCTCCTGCACCATGTCTGCAATCTCTGACCATCTCCTGTAGCATGTCCGCAGTCTCTGACCATCTCCTGTGCTATGTCCGCAGTCTCTGACCATCTCCTGTAGCATGTCTGCAGTCTCTGACCATCTCCTGTACTATGTCCGCAGTCTCTGACCATCTCCTGTAGCATGTCTGCAGTCTCTGACCATCTCCTGCACCATGTCTGCAATCTCTGACCATCTCCTGTAGCATGTCTGCAGTCTCTGACCATCTCCTGTAGCATGTCTGCAGTCTCTGACCATCTCCACTGAGTCATCCAGAGACACACGGACATAGAAACAGAGAATGTATCCCTGAGCCCGCCACCTAACAGGGTGAACAGTGACAGTTAGAGAGCAGAGACTGCTCACTCACCCTGGGGAGGTTGAAGGGCGGATACCTTTGATTTGTGGTAACATGCATTAGCGCAGCGCAATATGACGCACATCCTGCAACGCTGTTTAGTCTGAATGGCGCCACAACGCACATGTGCAGTAAAAGGTCGGTTGCGGCGCATTCCAAACGACCATGTGACATGCCATGCAGAAAGAGACACGTGCAGAGACATGTGCAGAGAAAGAGACCCGTGCAGAGACAGCCATGCAGAAAGAGACCCGTGCAGAGACAGCCATGCAGAAAGAGACCCGTGCAGAGACAGCCATGCAGAAAGAGACCTGTGCAGAGACAGCCATGCAGAAAGAGACACAAGCAGAGACAGCCATGAGGAAAGAGACACGTGCAGAGACAGCCATGCGGAAAGAGACACGTGCAGATACAGCCATGCAGAAAGAGACACGTGCAGAGACAGCCATGCAGAAAGAGACACGTGAAGAGACAGCCATGCAGAAAGAGACACGTGAAGAGACAGCCATGCAGAAAGAGACACAAGCAGAGACAGCCATGAGGAAAGAGACACGTGCAGAGACAGCCATGAGGAAAGAGACACGTGCAGAGACAGCCATGCAGAAAGAGATACAAGCAGAGACAGCCATGCAGAAAGAGACAAAAGCAGAGACAGCCATGAGGAAAGAGACCCGTGAAGACACAGCCATGCAGAAAGAGACACGTGAAGACACAGCCATGCAGAAAGAGACACGTGCAGAGACAGCCATGAAGAAATAGACACGTGCAGAGACAGCCATGAAGAAATAGACCTGTGCAGAGACAGCCATGAAGAAATAGACCTGTGCAGAGACAGCCATGAAGAAATAGACATGTGCAGAGACAGCCATGAAGAAATAGACCTGTGCAGAGACAGCCATGAAGAAATAGACATGTGCAGAGACAGCCATGAAGAAATAGACATGCGCAGAGACAGCCATGAAGAAATAGACATGTGCAGAGACAGCCATACAGAAAGAGACCTGTGCAGAGACAGACATACAGAAAGAGACATGTGCAGAGACAGACATGCAGAGACAGACAGAAAGAGACCTGTGCAGAGACAGACATGCAGAGACAGACAGAAAGAGACCTGTGCAGAGACAGACATACAGAAAGAGACCTGTGCAGAGACAGACAGACAGAAAGAGACCTGTGCAGAGACAGACAGAAAGAGAAATGCTCAGACAATCATAGATAGAGAGAGAGATGTGCAGTTATAAAGAGACATGCACAGTCAGAGACTATAAGCAGCAGACACAGAGACATGCACAGCAGCAGCAGGTAGAGGCAGAGACAGTCCTGCACACCTAGCATGTGAGCACAGTGCATGCCAATAGTGTGACACAGCGAGCAGTCATTGTGTGGCCCCGCCCCCTCCACACCCCCTGGGCAGTCTCAGGCACTCTCTGGCAGTCTCTGCCTCCCAGGGAACAGTCAGTCTCTGCTATTCAGAGGTAAGAGGCAATCTCTGTGTGTGTGTCTGTGTGCTGTGCTGGGGGTGGGGGGTCCCTAGGCTGGGCGCGGTGCTGTCTCATGCCTGGCTGCCCTAAGCACTCTGATGTCTCTTTTATTTCTGCCCAATTCCAGAAATCCCCCCTCCCAGCTGTCTCTTTTGTCTCTGTCCTCCCTTCGGGGTCCTGATCCTCTGTGTCTCTGGATCGGGAAAAAAGGCTCATTGTAGACCTCTGCCACATCTGGGGATGTCTCTTTGCATGGTGATCTCTCTCCCTTTTGTGATTCTGATGGCTGTCTCTTGGATCCCAGTGATTTCAGGGGGTCTCATAGAGTGCACAGTACAATCTGAATCCCACCTAACCGGGAGGAACTTCCTGTGTCCCCAATCCTAGGGGGAGATCCGGGGACACGGAGTGAAGGGGATACAATGTAACCGACAATCAAAATATTATCCTCCGAGAGATTTCTGTGTCATATATATTGTACATTGTGTTCTATTTCCTTCCTGTGCCGTCTCATAGACTGTCTCTTCCTGTCCTTCTCCTGATCTCATAGACTGTCTCTTCCTGATCTCATAGACTGTCTCTTCCTGTCCTTCTCCTGATCTCATAGGCTGTCTCTTCCTGTCCTTCTCCTGATCTCATAGGCTGTCTCTTCCTGTCCTTCTCCTGATCTCATAGGCTGTCTCTTCCTGTCCTTCTCTTGATCTCATAGGCTGTCTCTTCCTGTCCTCTTGATCTCATAGGCTGTCTCTTCCTGTCCTTCTCTTGGTCTCATGGACTCTCTTCCTGTCCTGCACCCTCAGCTGTCTTTCATTGTACATCTCTATCCCTAGCTGTCTCTTTTGTTCTCCCCTCCTTGTCTCCTTCTATTTGCTGTCTCTGATTTTCTTCCTTCCTTGCACAATCATGTTCACAGATGTCTCATTGTAGCTGTCCCTTTTCCTTGCTGTGATGTCTCTTTTCTGCTGTGCATTTATTAATGTAGCCGGGCTGTGGAATAGAATTAATATAATGAGACATCATTGGGGAAGGAGGGGAGATGTCTCTTTTTCTACCAAAAAATGACTGCCTGTTGATACATGAGAGCACACAGCAGTCTCTTTTTTTCCTATTCCACACCCTGTAGCTGGCTGTCTCTTTCCCCTGAAGAAGGTCTCTGCCTCCTGTACAGGGCTGTCTCTTTCTCCTGGAGAGGGTCTCTGCCTCCTGTACAGGGCTGTCTCTTTTTCCTGGGGAAGGTATCTGCCTCCTGTACAGGGTTGTCTCTTTCCCCTGGAGAGGGTCTCTGCCTCCTGTACAGGGCTGTCTCTTTTTCCTGGGGAAGGTATCTGCCTCCTGTACAGGGTTGTCTCTTTCCCCTGGAGAGGGTCTCTGCCTCCTGTACAGGGCTGTCTCTTTCCCCTGGAGAGGGTCTCTGCCTCCTGTACAGGGCTGTCTCTTTCCCCTGCGGAAGGTCTCTGCCTCCTGTACAGGGCTGTCTCTTTTTACCTCAATGTCTTGGCACATACTTCTTCCTTATTCTGTTACTTCTGTAATAATGTTGGCCGGGGATGTCTCTTAAACTAGCAGGAAGTATGCAGAGCTGTCTCTATGCCTGGTGTGCAGGAATGTCTCTTTTCCTGTTCCTCTAGATACAATGTGATGTCTCTTTAAAATTGCTATTGTAGATTATACAAGGCTGTGTCTTTTCCAACCCAATAGGAGGGCTGTCTCATGTCTCTTCATGTACAGAGCGCTCATCGGCCATATTATAGTAATAGTTGCAATTAAAGGTGTCTCATTCCAATTACAACATACAGTCTATTTCATGACTTGTATGCAGGGCTGTCTCTTTCCTTGCTTTAGTATATGAAGTGGTCTCTTCCAGGTCCTATTGTGTGAGGGCTGTCTCTTTTCCCACTGTACAGTAAGCAGGAATGTCTCTTTTTTTTACCTGTACAGTAAGCAGGGCTGTCTCTTTTTCCCCTGCACAATATGCAGGGCTGTCTCTTTTCCCCTGTACAATATGCAGGGCTGTCTCTTTCCTTGATATAGTATATGAAGTGGTTTCTTCCAGGGCCTATTGTGTGAGAGCTGTCTCTTTCCCCCCTGTACAGTATGCAGGGCTGTCTCTTTTCCCCTGTACAGTATGCAGGGCTGTCTCTTTTCCCCTGTACAGTAAGCAGGGCTGTCTCTTCTCCCCTGTACAATATGCATGGCTGTCTCTTCTCCCCTGTACAGTATGCATGGCTGTCTCTTCTCCCCTTGTACTCTGTGCCTGGGCTGTCTCTTTTCCCCTGTACAGTAAGCAGGAATGTCTCTTTTCTCCCATGTACAATATGCAGGGCTGTCTTTTCTCCCCCCTTGTACTCTGTGCCTGGGCTGTCTTTTCTCCCCCATTGTACTCTGTGCCTGGGCTGCCTCTTTTCCCCTGTACAGTATGCAGGGCTGTCTCTTTTTCCCCTGTACAATATGCTGGGCTGTCTCTTCTCCCCCTTTGTACTCTGTGCCTGGGCTGTCTCTTCTCCCACCTTGTACTCTGTGCCTGGGCTGTCTCTTCTCCCCCCTTGTACTCTGTGCCTGGGTTGTCTCTTCTCCCCCCTGTACTCTGTGCCTGGGTTGTCTCTTCTCCCCCCTGTACTCTGTGCCTGGGTTGTCTCTTCTCCCCCCTGTACTCTGTGCCTGGGTTGTCTCTTCTCCCCCCTGTACTCTGTGCCTGGGTTGTCTCTTCTCCCCCCTGTACTCTGTGCCTGGGTTGTCTCTTCTCCCCCCTGTACTCTGTGCCTGGGTTGTCTCTTCTCCCCCCTGTACTCTGTGCCTGGGTTGTCTCTTCTCCCCCCTGTACTCTGTGCCTGGGTTGTCTCTTCTCCCCCCTGTACTCTGTGCCTGGGTTGTCTCTTCTCCCCCCTGTACTCTGTGCCTGGGTTGTCTCTTCTCCCCCCTGTACTCTGTGCCTGGGTTGTCTCTTCTCCCCCCTGTACTCTGTGCCTGGGTTGTCTCTTCTCCCCCCTGTACTCTGTGCCTGGGTTGTCTCTTCTCCCCCCTGTACTCTGTGCCTGGGTTGTCTCTTCTCCCCCCTGTACTCTGTGCCTGGGTTGTCTCTTCTCCCCCCTGTACTCTGTGCCTGGGTTGTCTCTTCTCCCCCCTGTACTCTGTGCCTGGGTTGTCTCTTCTCCCCCCTGTACTCTGTGCCTGGGTTGTCTCTTCTCCCCCCTGTACTCTGTGCCTGGGTTGTCTCTTCTCCCCCCTGTACTCTGTGCCTGGGTTGTCTCTTCTCCCCCCTGTACTCTGTGCCTGGGTTGTCTCTTCTCCCCCCTGTACTCTGTGCCTGGGTTGTCTCTTCTCCCCCCTGTACTCTGTGCCTGGGTTGTCTCTTCTCCCCCCTGTACTCTGTGCCTGGGTTGTCTCTTCTCCCCCCTGTACTCTGTGCCTGGGCTGGCTCTTCTCCCCCCTTGTACTCTGTGCCTGGGCTGTCTCTTCTCCTCCCTTGTTCTCTGTGCCTGGGCTGTCTCGTTTCCCCTGTACAGTAAGCAGGAATGTCTCTTTTCTCCCCTGTACAATATGCAGGGCTGTCTCTTCTCCCCCTTGTACTCTGTGCCTGTCTTATCAACCCAGCCTATGGGACAGACCATTGTGCTTCCTTCACCCTGCAACGCCGTGCGCGGCAATGCTTGCGGATTCGTGCGTCGAGGCTTGCTGCGCTAAGCAGCCCAATTATTAGGGTATAGGCCCCGCCTTCATGTTTGTTTTCAGTACAGCGCAAGGCACAGAGATTCTGGTGTCCTATAATACCGGTGGGTTGCACTGTAGATGCTTTGGGATGCAAGTAACATGGAATGGCAACCAACCGCAAAGCGCATCTTCTGTGCGATACCATGCGTTATTGTGTGACCGAGCCCACCCACATCTTCCTGAGCCCACTGGATGCCTAGAAGGGACCCTCTAGTAGGCCCATTGAAACCCCTTCATAGAGAATGCATGGTTGGCACCTCACTGACCTCCTGTACCCTTCTTTTGGTCAGAGAGGCCACCCGGCACAGTGACGGACCACTGGACCGGTGCTGGAAGAGGCAAACCAAAGCCCAACACCAATGATTTTTGAACTTTTTGGTAATTGTTCTGGTCTTTTGACTTTTGTCATCCGTATGGCTTCCTTATTCCATTAGATGAGTCAATAAAAAAAATGATCATGGTGACCCCCATCAGCCTAGAAGGGTGGGGACCCTCTAATAGGCCCATTGAAACCTTTCATAGTCAATGCATGGTTGCCCCCTCGACCTCCTGTGCCCTTCTTTTGGTCAGAGAGGCCACCCGGCATAGTGAATGCATGGTCGCCCCCTTTCTAGACCAGTCACTGCTGCTCTCTCCTTGTGCAGGGTGACTGGTCTTGTCTCCGCCCCCTCCTGTAATAAAGACCGCTCACTGCTGCGCTCTCTCCTTATGCAGGATGACTGGTCTTGTCTCCGCCCCCTCCTGCAATAAAGACCGGTCACTGCTGCTCTCTATCCTTGTGCAGGGTGACTGGTCTTGTCTCCGCCCCCTCCTGTAATAAAGACCGGTCACTGCTGCTCTCTCTCCTTATGCAGGATGACTGGTCTTGTCTCAAGGTTTCCCTGTGACATCTATGTATTCCTGAAGCTGACGTTGCAGCGGCTGCGCCCGTCTCAATAATTCTCTTATCACATCTCCGTCTCACTGCCGCGTCACTGACGTATTCATGATTGGGTCAACGCGCCGACGTCCGGCACAGTCACTCCCTGTCCAGAGTGACAAGACCTCCTGTTTACTTGAGTCAAAAAAAAATATCCCCTCCAGGTGAACTCTGAACATAGCACAGATGGTAACAGACTTTGGTGCAGGTCCTTACTTGCCTTTGTTCTGTAGATATTGAGCAAGACCATTCCCGTGCACGTCCTGATATCCTGCGAAGGGCTGAGCAGGAAGGGCCGCCTGGTGTCATTACATGATGTAATGGGTGAAGTTTATTTAAACCCTGATGGGATGACGTTTAGTTTGCT